AATTAATCCAATTAAAATAATTAAGCCGATTAACCAAAAATTTTGCCAACTTATTAACAAGTATGTGAAAAACCGAGGCCCAGCCTCGTTTTAAACAACATCGCAAAATCGCAAGCCTAGATCAAAGCCTAGCCTCCCAAGCCGAGGGCTGGGTGCTGCTAGGCTGCCTAGTCAAGCAGCCTTGATGGCGCTTAGGCTGGGTGTTGCCTGCAGCCCCTGCCCTTGTGGCATGCACATGGCAGCCCTCACACATTTACGCTTGCACACACTTGCATACACTCGCACGCACTACCTTGGCAGCCACATGTGGGCTATGCAAGCAGCCCAGCTAACCGAGTTGGTGCTTCGAAGCTTGAAGCTTCGATTTTTATGCCCATGCTTTGAAATTAAATTCCGATTTTGTGTATGTCTTTAAATTAGTTCTAAATCTATTTTAGAACTAATATTTGAGCAATATTGAAAATAAAACAAGTCTAAATTAATTAAATTCAATTTTAGTGCACAAACCAAAATTAATTCAAGAACCATTCTTCAAATTATTTTTGGCTCAACTTGATGCAACAAAATTGAGGGCTATTCTCACAATTAATTTAACCAACATAAATTAATGATGAGATTTGACAAAAAATAGTTGAATAAAAAATCATTCATCCAATGAAAAATTTATCCAACACTCACTTGTGCACATTTGAATATTGTAATCTTCTAATATGAAGAACAATAATATTTCAAGCACAAGCTTGAACATTTTAAGATTTTAATCAACTCAAAAATGATTAAAACCAAAAATTTGTTCATTATGGATTTTAGAAAGTTAAGATCCAACCAAATAAACAATTAAAGCTTGAATCTTTAACATTTTAGGGGCTTCAAAATACATTTTCACCATAAACATTCACACTCCAAGCAATTAATTTGCAAAAAAGTGAAATTGCAAGTTTATGTGAAAATAAGAGCTAACCAAATTAAGCACCAATTATAACTTCGTAAACATGCTTAATGAGGGTTAAAATTGCAAAAGATTATTGGTATAATTAAACAAAAAATCCAACAATTGCATGCCATAATTAATCAAGGTTTAGAGATTTAAATTTTTTCGTTAAAAATGAAAAACCCCTCAAAAAACCACTTTTTGGGTGGATTTTGGCTTCTGGAAGGCCAGTTTTAAACACAAAGCAAGTGGGTAAATTCTGATTTAAAACGTCAATTCTACCCAAAATTCACTATTTTTGAGTCAAATCGGAGTTCGTAATCCAAAATTAGCATAAATACGAGTTTAATCTAATTAAAACGAGGTCCTAATCTAATTAGGAAGCTAAACTAGAAATTCAAATCCATTTAAATCACCTTAATTAATTATTAGTCACAATAATTAAATACACGCGTCTCGTGATACCGCTGTTGGGTTTTACGGTGTCTAACACCACGCGGAATCAAAACCCGCTCAAATATCCGTGCATAAATTAAAGCAACTAAACATGCATTAAATAAAACATATAATAAACACATAATAAGAGGGAGAGAGAGAGAGAGAGAGAGAGATAAGAAAAAACGATCATACCCTTGATGTGTGTTTTCCACTTAGCACGAACGTGAAGTCACAAACGGAGAAAGAGCCTCAAACGTGACCCCTCCAACGTAGTCCACCCACGCGCCCAAACTTGGCTTATATTACCGGCTAGGACAATATTAACACTACTTAAAAAGAGGATCTCTTTATAAGGTTTTCTCAATGGAGATGCCTTTTATAGAGTTCAACTCTTGCAAAGAATTCCCAAGGGAGGCCTTGGGTATTTATAGGAGAAGCATCTCCATCCCCTTGATTTCCGATCAATGTGGGACTTTTCCAAAGTTGAGAAAAGCTAGTATTTAATTTAATTCTAAGATAAATTAAATAGTTAGAATAAATAGTCAAGCAACAAGTGGCAATCACATGGGAGTGGTTAGGTGAGGACCACAAGGAGGACCACATGGTCTCCTTGCTCCCCAAGCCAAAATCTTCACCAATCACAATCACATATGACCGATCAAGGCCTAGGGCAACAAGGCTTGCCAAGGTGGCAGCCTTGTGCCTCGGCTAGGCCTGCTAGCCGCAGCAAGCCCATGCGGGCATTGCTCGCTGTTGGCTAGTGGGCTGGGTGGGTACGCGTCAGCACGTCAGCATGCTGCTGCGTTGCTGCTTGTGCGAGCTCGCTTGCGGGCTTGTGCTAGCAGCGCTGCCACCCCCGCAAGCATGCTCTCTCAGCAGCAATGCTTGCCCGGCTGCTAGGCCATGCGATGGCCCAACTCCCACGAGCCTAACCCTCGCATGGCTAGCACTTCGTTAGGCTATTGCGTTGAGTAATTAGGTTTTGATGATTGTAAACTAATGATGATTATCAATCTAATGTGTTTGTTAATTTGTGCATAGAAAGATCAAGTTATGCTTGGAACAGGGTACAAGGAACCTGAGCAATGACAAAGTATATATATAAGGAACCTGAGCAATATATGATAAGCAATAGAAGGAACAAGAGCAATGATGAGTGATGCTTGATAAGCATGATGATGGTGAAGGAACCATGAAGGTAACTATGTAATTAGGTTTTTACACATGTTATCTTCATGAGGTAAGTACCCTATGCATACATGAGTCGTATATGTGTGGGAGTATTTACATAGGCTTTAAGTTTAATTAGTTCTCTCACTTGAAGTTTGTTTATGACAAACAAGTTTCAATCTAATGTTCTCTTAAGTGTTTATGTGAAGACAAGAACTAACTTAGGTGAAGTCAATGGGTTGGAACATAGAAGACTTCAAGAGGAAAGAGAGAATGAATGAACCTAAAGCAGGTTCTCCCACGAGAACCAAACCACGAAGGAACCTGAAGGTATTCTCCAACGAGATCCAGAAGAAACTTTCGGCAGGCTGTCCAACGAGAGCCGGAGCATGTTCCCTAACAGGTACATGAGGTGTTCCCTAATAGGTACACATAAGGAGCTTCCTAATAGAAGCATGATAACAAGCTAAAGAGTAAAGCTTGGACTGCGAAGATGACAGCAAGTTCCAGATGAATTTGGTCTACGAGTTCTAGCAGGGAATGAAGAAGAGTGACAGTAAGTTCCAGTTAGGAACTTGGTTTGTGGTTCCAGAAGTGGAACATTGCCCCGTGATCCAGAATACATCAAGACTATAGGATTCCAGAACAAGAGTTTCGGAGAAGCAACATGAAGACGGAGAAATAGAAGTATATTGCTCTAGGATTCATGTAAGTATGTTGGACATAAAAGTCAGCCTAGAACAAGTTTATATAGAACCAAGGTCAACTCCAGGTAGTCAATGAAATTATAGTTACTGACTTGTCGAGAAATCAGAGACTGTTAGAGTTCTAGAACCTACTAGGAACTTAAGTCGGCACGTCGTTAAAATTCGGTTTTAATGATATATATATTTACCTAATACGTGCATATCTGTTAGGGATTTGGTTTTACTGAATAAATATATTTATTTTCTAATAAATTCCTTTTGGAAAAAGATAAGTTTATTTTTGGAAAGTATTTTCAGCTAAAATAAGTTTTAAATAAAATCTGACTTTATGGTAAGTATATCTTATTATTATTGAAAGAATTTATTCTTAACAAAAAGATATATTTTAACTAAAATATAAGTTTTAAATAAAACCTGATTTTATGGTATGTATATCTTATTATTATTGACAGAATATATTCTTAACAAAAAGATATATTTTTGGAAAACTTATTTTTGGAAAATATCTTTGAAATATATCTTTTGATAAAACTTGTCTTTTACGAAAAGAATGATTTGGGTGTACTATAAATATGCTCATATGTATTCATTCAAAGTTGAGGCTGACAAAGTGCATGCAGTGGTCGTGTTTAATGGTTTAATCCTTCACCACGAAGCTAAGTCAGTCCTCCAGGTCAAAGTTCCGGTCAAGGTTTGGTTTCAGTTCATCCAGTCAGTTCCAGACAGATCTTGAGTGTCCAGCATATTAGTTTTATCTCTTTATTCATATATATGTATTTAGAGTTATTCTTTGAGATCTTGTAAAGGGAAAAAGGGTTTTAAGTGTTTTATGTATTGGGGTGTGAAAGTTCGTGAGGATTCTTGTTATTATAACTGTAACAGCGCAAAGTGTGAGCTTCTTGTGTGAAGCCGAGTGAGCTTCTAGTGAGAGGCCAAGTGAATAGTAATCTTGGAGTACTGAGTAGAATCTAAGTCCGGGATTTAGGTTGGGTAGGATAGGATCCTATAGAGTAGCAAGTTCAGTCAGGAACTTGTGAGAAAGGTCTGTTTGTAATAGGTTGTAACTAGGAGTGTTTGGCCTATTATAGTGGATTGGTTTAGTTTGAAATCCCTTGGAGGGTCGAGGTTTTACTTCCAGTTAGGCCCTAGATGGTTTCCTCGTAAAATTCGCTTTGCATTGTTTAAGTTCCTAACTTTAACTGTTTTATATTCTGCGAAAATTAGGCACTAGGAACATACTACAATTCACCCCCCTCTTGTCGTATACCATCCAAATAACATATTGTGAGGCTACGGCTCAGGGTTTTGACTTGTGACGTGTTGTTTGACTTATTTACTCGTCTCGTCGATTCCTAGATTCGACTCGACGTTTGACGTTCGACTTCGACGCTCTAAGCTCGGAATTCGACGTCTGAGTATGAATCCTCTTGTTTGACGTATTAAGGCCTTCGGCTTAATTCGTCACCTTAGTTTGAATGCACGCTTGGGTGTGACCCATTGGGTTCAGTAGAAGGAAAGTTGTGATATTAATATGATTAATCTCACTGATCGGAGATGGTCTCTAGCCTGACTTTCCGATCACTCGACTTCACTGAATAATTAACTCCGTAATTAATTCTGAACCCTCTATCGGAATAATACACTTGTTCGAAAGACACCAATCCTTTCATCTTGGTGGGACAAGAACAAGATATAGTACTTATGACAAGGAGTTCTATGCAATTGTGAGGGCTCTTAATCATTAGTCACATTACATGAGGCCTAGACCATTTGTACTACATTCCGATCATGAATCTCTCAAGTACATTAATGGTTCTCATAAACTCAATGCAAGACATGCCAAATGGGTTGAATTTCTCCAATCTTTCACCTTCTCTTCTAAGTACAAAGAAGGGAAGGGCAATGTAGTGGCCAATGCTCTTTCTAGGAGGCATTGTATGATCATTATTCTCGATGCGATGTTTTTGGGGTTTGAGTTACTCAAAGAGTTGTATGGTGATGATGAGGATTTTGGTGAGTTGATGAAGAAGTATGAGAACGGGATCAATGGCTCTTTCATGATGCAAGAAGATTTCCTTTTCAAGGGAAACAAGCTTTGTGTTCCAAAATGTTCTCATCAAAAGCTACTTGTGAAAGAAGCTCATTAACGAGGCCTAGCCGGAAACTTTGGGGTTGCAAAAAACATATAATATCCTTCGGGAACATTTTTATTGGCCTAAAATGTTTGGCGATGTGCAAGATGTAATAGCTCGTTGTGGGGCTTGTCATAAGACTAAGAGTCAATTCCATGAGGGACTCTACTATCCTCTTTTGGTTCCTAGTCACCCATGGGATGATCTTAGTATGGATTTTGTGGTTACTCTCCCTCACACTCCAAGACAAAATAATTCCGTGCTTGTTGTGGTGGACGATTTTAGCAAGATGGCTTATTTCATTCCTTGTCACAAGATCAATGATGCTTCTCATGTGGCTACCTTATTCTTTAGAGAAGTGGTGAAGCTTCATGGCATTCCAAAAAGCATTGTGTCAGATAAAGATCCTAAGTTCTTGATATACTTTTGGAAGACCTTGTGGAAGGTGGTAGGAACCAAGCTCTTGTTTAGTACTTCTAGTCACCCTCAAACCGATGGGCAAACGGAGGTGACTAATCGGACCATGTCCAGCTATCATTAGCAAGCACATGAAAGATTGGGATGTTAAACTTCCTCAAGTTGAATTTGCTTAAAAACGCTCTCATTGCATAGCTACTAGGAAAACACCATTTGAAGTAGTGTATGGCTTCAATCCCCACTTACCACTTGACGTGTTGCTAAGTATTCCTCAAGATGAGTTGAGTTTTGAGGCAAAAGATAGAGTTGAAATGATGAAAAAGCTTCATAAAGATGTCAAGAAGAGGATTGAGAAAGCAAATGAGAGTTATAAGGCAAGAGCAAACAAATTCAAGAAGCCAAGGGAATTCAATGTAGGAGATCTTGTATGGCTCCATCTTCGGAAAGAAAGATTTCCGGCTTCGAGAAATAACAAGCTCATGCCAAGATCCGAAGGCCCCTTTAAAGTTGTGGAGAGGGTTGGACCCAATGCTTACACGCTCAAACTTCCGGGAGACTATGGATTTCATGCTACCTTTAATGTTGGTGATCTTGCTCCTTTTCTTTTTGAGGAAGATGTTGGTGATAATGATCCAGAATTGAGGGTAATTCCTTTTGAAGGGGAGGGGTTTGATACGGGTGCATGGAACTTGGTGGAGGAAGTTCAAGAAGTGTCACGTGTTATGACACGTCCTTGGTGGCCACCTCTCGAGGTTGACCATTATCAAACTCAAATAACTTTTGTTTGTTTAGAATAAAGCTCCAAGGATTCCATGTGTTAGCCAAGAGAGAAACTTATCAATGCGTTACTTAACTACTTCAATCAACCATATCTTCTTCGTTACAAAAAAATTTCAGGTGATTCAAATTGGAGATGAAAGTAGAGTCCAAGAGCTTTCCAACGACAGGTCACATGCCCAAATTAAGCAAGAAATGAAAAAGTTATGAGCGTTTGAAATCGAGCTATCTAGACAGAACCGCTGAAGCGACCGCTCCGACCATTGGAGTGACCGCTCCATCCCTTGCAGCAATTGCTCTATCCGGTATTGGGATTTTTGGCAGAAGCTTTGGAGAGACTGCTTTGTTCATGCAGAGCGACCGTAAAGCCCTATATATAGGGTTAATCTTATGATTGGTTAGAGGAACTTTTGCTTAATTTTGAAATCAATGATATTTTCTCTCTCTACCCATAATCATTGTGATTATTTGCTATCTTTGTGATTTCTTCTTTGTAATCTTTGTGATTACATCTTAATCCTAGCTTTATTTGGTATTGGCTTTGATTAAGAACCCTTATTTCATAGATCTTGGTGATTTTTGAGATAGGTTTATCTTGTGTTGTTGCTTTGAAATTATTGATAGTTGATTTTCCCCTCTTTTCTTGGTTGTTTCATATCACTAATAGGTTCAGATAAGTTCAGGTAAATTCATATAAGATAAGATAAGTTCAGATAAGTAAAAATCAGGTGAATAGAACACACCCTAAACAAAGTCTTGTACTCCCTCTGTGTTTTAATAAGTTTTACACTTACCGAATGCGGTTGTTTTAATAAGTGTTATACTTCTCTTTTTTGTTTTTGCTAAAAGCTATATTTTTATATTATATCTTTCTCCTTTCATAGTCCCCACCCAAACACACTATTACTTTTTAATTATTTTTTTCCTCTCACATTTATTACTTTTCAATAAAATATTAACCCCATTGTCTTTCTTTTACAAATATTTCAACTACTCAACTTACCTCTTATTTTATTTAAGTCAATTAAATTGCCTTAAACTATGTGCCGATTAAAGTGTAATACGGAGTGTTTATTAAAACATGGAGGGAGTAACGTGTTTAAAAAAAAATACTGTAAGGAAAACTGCACAAGGAATAATAAGCTTCTTACAACATGAAAAGTATCATTTTTATTGGCTAAAGATTAATATTGCAAATTTTAAATACAAATACAAGTGCTAAATGTATGTAATCAACACCCATTTAAAAAAAAAAAAATTGTGAAAAAATTGTATGAAAAAACAGAAGAGTCTTAAGCTGTTACAGTTTGGCAACTTGCCTAAATATTATAGCAAGTACACATTACGGAGTAGTTGATAATTAAATCATAAAAAGAAGGCAGGCAAAGGTAACATAGGCAAAGATAAAACAATTGTTGACAAGCCATGGTGCATCGCTTTTACGAGTTGTAGGAGCATGATTATTTAGATTACCAGCGCCTCTGCCGCAACGACCACCCTGCCTCCGGTAGGCATGGATGGCATGATTTTCCCAATCAACGTTATTATTTGTAACTTTGTTACATTTGAGACCATTTTCAATTGAAGAGAGTTGTTGTCCATTGCATGACATCTTATTTACTATTGTGTCTTCTGTAACATATACCAAGTAAATTAGTTCTCAACCTTTACCAATATAAATTCATAAAGTCCTTTCCAAAAATATATATATATATATATATATATATATATATATATATATATATATATTCATAAAGTTATCTTTTTATTGGTATAAAATCAATAAATTATAAATTAATCATCAAAGACAGACAACTTTCACCAATTTAATATTCATACTAGTAGATGTGTTAACAGATTAAAGCATGTAGTAAGAGTTTTGACTTTTCATTACATGTTCATTTTTGTATTCTACCATGTATGATATAAGATAATTATAGGATACTTCACTTCAAAAAATGACTCGATTGAGAAGATGAACTATATATGATCAAGAATCTTTAAATATGATTTTACCGTCTTAAATATTAATCAAATGAATATTTTTAAACATTATTACTAAAGTTAATGAGCATAATTATTAATTATAAGCAATGCCACAACAATTCGCAAATTAGATCCTACACACGATACCGAATAAACTGCAAAGATTTACAAAAATAATTATATTTAAAAAAAAAAATAAAAAAAAAATTTGCAAATACCTTTAAAAGATGCATCATGATTAGTTGGGGAGCTGGATTTGGCTACTGATATCAAATTTGAGAAGGATAGAAAGGAAATGACGAAGAACACAAAAGAGGTTTCATGGTTTTTTATTTTCTCTCTTTTTTTTTTTGGGGTAATTTGAGTATAAATTTTAGATTTTTACTTTGATGAATGTTATTTGAAGCTAGTTTGAGAACTAAGTACGAAACTACTCCGTTGAATGATTGGTTTTGCTTTTGGAAAAGCGAAAGGTGCTTTCACGTGTCTGCAGTACGGTACTACAATCATTAGTACAAATTTTGATTTTCTAATTAAATTTATGATGAAAATTGTAAAAACTATTTAAGTTAATAATGATGGTAAAACTTAATTACACTTTTGCGTTGGGATAAATTTTAGCTATGATATGGAACTACTGTTCACTTAAGAAAGCAATTTTGGTTGATAAATCGCACGGACTATTAGTTAATATGGAGCTAGTCCTCATTAATATCCTATATTAGCACCTCTTATTAATATAGTGGCATTTTGGAAAATAAAAGCACTTCTCGCCCCCCCCCCCCTCTCCTATGTTCTTGTCGACCATCCCCTCCCATGGCCACTCAATTTTGTCTCTCCTCCCCTCCCGTGGCCACTATTCCTTCTCTCTCCTCCCCTCGCATGGCCTTGCCGACCATTCAACCACCATCGCGAGTCAAAACCGGCTGGCCAAACAAAAGACACCCTACTGGGACATATGTAAAGAGGGCCCATATTAACCCCTTTGGGAAAGGGTGGTGCTCGCGGAGGTGTGACGGTGGTCTAGTGGTACTAATGGCTGACTAGTGGTCAATTGGTGGTGGAAGTGGTCGATTGGTGGTGGTAGTGGTCGTACGATGGTCGTGCTAGTGGTCGTGCGATGGTCGGATGATGGTGTTAGAGGTGGTGCGGTAGTAAGAAGGTGGTGCCAGTGGTGGTTCAGTGGTGATAGAGGAGAGATAAAGGGGGTATTTGCTTAAAAATTTACCAAAAAAACCCTTGATATTAACAAGTTATGTTGATATTGGATATCAACTTGTATTTTCTCGTTAATATGGAGTATATATTTAACAACAATTTAAATGATGACATTAGTTTTTAAATGATGCAGATTAGTTTTTAAATGTTGACATGTTTTTAAATGATGCTTAATTTATAACTTTTAAATTGCTGTAATTTTTTATAAAATTTGGTAAAACCATGCATTGCAATCACCATATATGAAGTACTTCCTCTGTTTTCTTTTAGTTGCAACGTTTGAAAATTTGCACTATTTACGTTTTTCTATTTGACCAACTATGTTGATTTATATAGTCATGTAGAAATTCGTTAAATTTGAACTTTGAGCTTAAATACTATTTAATTAGGAAAAATTTACAACAATAATCCCACCTTTATGCTATATTCTCAAAATGGTCTCAGTTTTAAAATTTTGAAAATAATCCCAACTTTTACTAGTGTCTTCCTAAAATAGTCCCATTAGCAGGTAATTTTAATTAATTCATCCATCCATCCTCCACCATGGGCACCATTCTCCTACCACGACCTCCAATGGGCCTAATATCTAAAGCAACCTCCAGTGATATAGAAGCAGCAAGCCTTTTAAACCGAACCTTGACCCACCAGATCATATCATTCGAACAACACTGATCGATCGGCTGCCATGACTCACTTTTTACCCTCTTCTTCTCTGCCACTCGTCTCTTTCTCTCGGTTTCTTTATTTGGGCAACTCAGCAACCCAATTTTCTCGCTCCAATTCTTATCACTCCAATTTTCTCGGTTTCAATTCGATATTGGAGAACAATTATAAAGAGAGTGAATAAAACAACGAGCTGAGAATTTAGGTTTCAATGGTCGAAATTTTAACAATTGATCCTAATATCAACTAAAATTTTAATCCCTTCACTTGTTTGGATTGAAGGAAATGGAAGGAAAGAAGGGAAGAGAAAAGGAGGGGGACAAACTCTCTTGTTTAGGTAAAGGATTGAGATAAGGAAGGAAAAGAGAGGGAGGGATCCATTTTCCCCCTCTTTAATAAGTATAATCCCTCCAAAATTGGAGAGATATGGAGGAAAAATAGAGTTCACCTCCCCCTCCCTTTCTTTCCCCTTCTCTTCCTCCTATTTCTCTCCCCTTCCATTCCTTTCTTATTTGCTATCCAAATAAAGCGTTAGAATTTTAATTTTCACAAAATCCAAATAGCTTGAAAATATATTTTCAACATTGTGCCTAAGAAATTACAGAGATAATAGAACTAAAATAAAGTTAGAATTAAAAAATAAATAAAAATAAAGAGGAGAAATGGGGGAAGTTGTTTGAGAATGTTGAGGAAGACGAAAATAATCCTTTGATCTTCTTTATTGCCATTTTTTTATGCATGCTAATTATGCATGCTTCTTTCTTCACTTTGATCTTCTTTATTGCCATTTTTTTAAGGTAAGGTGGCAGGGCTTTGGACGGGGAGGAGGAGAAGAGAGAAAAGGTAGCAGGACTTTGGAGGAAGAGAGAAAGGCCCGTGGAGAAGAGTGTACAAGTGGGATGGTAATTTTTTTTTAAACTAAAAAACAAAAATAAAAGGCTAAACCAATCAAAAGAAAACACATTTGATGTTCACTGGTTACACAGGTTAGATATTATTTTCATAAAAGACCTCATAAAAATTAGGATTATTTTCAGAATTTTTAAATTTGGGACTATTTTGAGAAGATAACATATAGGTGGGATTATTGCTGTAAATTTTTTCATTTAAGCAGAGAATTATATATTAAAGTAGAAAAAATAGGTCTTCTAATAATGGAGGAAAAAAATCAAAATTGAATACATAGAACATAGTCATTGAAGTTATCATACATTAGTTGAATTTTTGAAAAATGGATGAATTTCTTTCAATTTGTGAAGAAATTCACTGAGAGTTAGTTAGAGCTTGAAGGTTCTTTCAAGGAGTTATAGATTAGGAAGAACTTTTAAGTAAGAATAGTTGTTGGCCTTGGAGAAAGAATCAGTTACATTTTAGCATCTTGAATGTACTAAATCTTCATTTCAAGGTTGTCATCATATCAATTGCACAACAATTTCCTTATATTTCTCAAGTCAAAGTTTTTTTTTGTAGCCTTCCAACCATCATCAGGTCCATCACATATCCTTTTCTCTATGCCAGTTGCCTTGCCAATGCAAAAGAATGAAGTAAATACAAATTTTGTAAAGGAAGAGTCGAGAAGGTTAGTAGAGAACGTGTCGCATACATTAACGTGACAATTAAGTCTCTGACACAAGACTTGTATATAGCTATATTATCAATACTCCCTTCATGAGAAAACTACCTCATGTTATGCGGTTAGACATGAGGGCAGACGTTAGATAAAGATGCCAGGAAACCCAAAATTTTCCATCAACTTATGCTGCATTATTCAATTTGGTATATGATGATTTTCTGCTGCCATTTACTTCATTTAGCTCCAAGGAGACGCCAACACAGCTCCACTACCTAATATCCCTTGTTTCCTCGAATCCGGGCTCGCATATCAACCTGAATGAGAAAAAAAATTTGCTTCGTATTAATTATTTCTTTTACTCGAAATTTAACTTTCAATGAAAAAAGAATCAAAGATTTATCATTGCACCATATAGTTGTTAGAATAATCTTGCATGACAATTGACAAAGCAAAACTACTGCAAATGGACTATTTGCTCTGTGGTAGACTTGAAATCCACCAAATATGTTAAGTGAGGCACCAGGTTAGCAGTAATAATTCTGGCTTTAATTAATTTTATTATTAGCATAATACAGCAACAACGTTCACAGTTTCACATGAGAGCAACATAATTAAGAAAGGAGTTCACATGTAAACTAGAGACAGCCATGTAGCCTTCGATTGTCATACGAGCAGGAGCTTCAAGCTTCAAACAAAAGCAACAAACAAGTTGTTCATCACTAAACTTTCCCTTTCATCTTGGGAAACTGATGTGGATTAAAACCCCTTAACTTAATAAAGAATCTAAAATCACACAAGTAACACAAGCCCTTCGAATTCCCTAAGAAAATCGAACAATTTAAGAACTGATGTGAATCAAGAGGCTAATTCCTTTGAAGGATCCAAGACACTTTTAGAAGGTCCAAATAGCTCCATTATAGGCTGCCTAAGCAAGGAAATAAACAAGGAAAGGTTCAATAGATCAATTGGGAAATAAGGAAGCTTGATCATCAAGGAAGAAGAAATGGAGCGATTTACTTCCAACGGCAATTACGGAGGCCATGCGCCACTCCAAGGGCCACGCGCCACCTTCCCGGAACCACCTTGAACCCAGCTACAACCTGAGCCAGCACGTGAGGCAAGAGGCGACGCGTGTGGTGGTCGAACGGCCGGCGATATGAAATGGATGATTTTTTATACTTAGGGTTTTTCTTGGTTTAAGCACTTAGGATAAGATTAAATTTCTATTATTTAGTTGCTATAAACTTCCTAAGGTTATTAGTTTTTAGTTAGTTCAATTAGAGTTTGATTAGGAATAAAATACCTAGCAATCCTATTCCTAATGGGATTGGTATTCTATCTTATGTAGGATTATTGGAATCCTATCTAGGTTAGATCTCCTACTTCTAGGGGGACTAGGAGACCTCATAGAGGTCTATAAATACTTGTTTTTCGTGGGTTTTCAAGACAATTAACAACCAGAAATTTCAATACAATATTATTGTTTGTTTTGCTTAATTGCTTACAAATTCTTTTGCTAGTTTTCAATTCAAGGACCTGTTTTGATAACTAGAACGTTCCAGGAGTAGTCATTTTCAAAGTCATATCCGGTTCATTGTTCTTAAATTGTTCGATTTTCTTAGGGAATTCGAAGGGCTTGTGTTACTGTGTGATTTTAGATTCTTAATTAAGTTAAGGGGTTTAAATCCACATCAGAAACTTTTGCTGCTATCATTAACACCCCAAGTCACTTAAAAGGTCAGAATGATCAAGACGATTACCAAACACAAATAGAAATGATTAAGCAGATACAAAAGCATTGATAGATAATATCTAATATGAGCATCTAAAAGCACTCATGACTCACAATTAAGATTTTTCTTAACTTTCAACCTGTAAATATAGAACCTAAAGTTACCTGACCCAAATTACATACATACTACAAATTAAACTGCTTTTCAATCATATTCATACATCATATAAAAGTTCCTAGTAAACTTAGTAATAATCAAACATTTGTTTTTGCGTGGTATAATTCAGGAGCAACAAGTCATAGATGATCAGGAAATTCCCCAACATGTCTTATAATTTCACGTAAAGGGACATAATAGATGTGCTAATATAGGTTGTTCCTAAGCCTTACCCCTGTTCAATATATTTAAGACAACTTAGATAAGTACTTCTGCATATTTGGGCCAAGTTATTAGCAGTTTTGGTGAATGTCAATCAAAAGTCAATTGGTCGGAGTTGGAATTTTGATTAGTCAAACTTTGAGGCGGTAGTGTTCTGATTAGTCTCCTTTGCTTCCTTTTTCTCTAGTTCAGCTCTTTATTTTGGGTCAGTTTCGATGTTAGTTGCATTTAGTGCCTTGTTCTTTGGTAGTTTCCTTACGTTAAGTATGTTTCAGGTAGTGTTTGAAGCTGATTTGTATATTTTTAGTTTAAAATTCTGCTTTGTGGTAGGTTGTCTCATTTTTGGAATTGTTGGTTCTATAATTCCCTTGTGGTGTGTCCCTGTTTGGTTAGTGGTTGGATGGCCAAGGTAGGCTTGTCCAATCTGGAAGAGTAAAGCAGGAAGTAAATTTGGGTTCAGACTCTAGGTATAGAGTGGTGGGAGGAAGAGATGCCCTGCTCTTCTCCAATGTTTCGTGTCTAGAAAATGGACACGTTGTCCTCTTTGTAGTAGGTAAAGACATAGGCTTCCTTGTTAGTGGGTTTGCTTTGAAGGATGGGTTTTGTGGAGGTCTTTTGTTAATAGGTCTTCGTCTATTAATTTTGTAATTGTGCGGGAGAAAGGTTTGGTGTGTACATGTTGACTCCAATTTTAAAATTAGAGGTCCTTAGGATTATTTAGGTTTGTGATGGGTTGTGTTCTCATCGCATGCAAAAGCACCGATCCTAAATTTTCTGGGGTTCATAGCATGCTGTTGATCATGAATTTCTTTCCTATCAATGGGAGAATTCGAGGACCTGTTTGCCGTGAAATTACTTTCCTTACGTTTCTTGCTTTGTCTCTATCTTTCAAGCTCCAAAGGTTTTTACATGATTTTCTCAAGGTCAATTACCCGAGCTTCACCTTTGTTGAATAAAGAAAACTGGGAAGAATATGCTATGTTACTCAAACTCTTCATTTCACCTCAAGTACCCATGTCAGATCTTTAACACTTGGACACGGATATGACACTGGACACTTCAATTTTAGTTCAAAATCAAGGATTTTTTTCACAAAATAGCCGAGTTGGGCATTTGGACACATACCCGTGTCGGACATGATTACCCGAGTCCAAGTAACATAGAGAATATATATTGTAGGCTTCTGCCCACTAGAATCAAGGCAGTGTTACTGTTACCTACAAAGTGGCTCCAACATTCATGAGCCTATTAAAAGAGCGATTTCAAACTTCAGTTTTAAATGTTGTGTTTATACGAGCAAGCAATGATCATCTTGATCTTGTTAGCTTTGTTCTTGTTAAGGTCTTAACAGGCCTAGTAGCTCTTATTGTATTACAACTATATCAATTTATGCAAATTAAGTTAAATGTTAAAAAAAATATTTAAAAAAATGTTTGAGATAGATAAAGAAAGATTTCATCGAGTTGCTTCTTATGGCATTGTGAAGTTTTATCAACTCATTTTTCACTAGCTTGCATCTCTTCCAACATTACAAGGTCCATAATGTCCTGGAGCCTTATTTCATTATTTCAAGCAGCCCCCTCCCCAGAAAAGAAATGGAAGATAATTTAGTGACACCGTAACTGAATTGACATTCTTTTTTTTATTGAGGAAACTGAATTGACATTCTACACCAGAAGTACTATCTACTAAAGTGTGATGCATATGATAGGAAAGTAGCACTAATATCTACATACTTCAAATATATATAAGGCACCTTTCATGAAGTAAAGTTATTTTGTATGTTCTGCAATTTCTCTTATCATGTCCCAAGATAAATATGCCATACATGTTCTAAATTTGTATTCAAATTTCTTCTGTTAGAGAAATATTAGGGCTCAGCAGTGTGCACAGAAATACACATCATATATATTCAATAAATTAAAAAATAAATAAATAAATAAAAACAGACACACATAAACTAGATGAAATTGTGAAGATTGGCACAAAAGGAAGGCATACCTGGCCCCTCTTACAATTGAAGTATGTTTCTCTTAGACCAACACAATCGCTAGGTATACAAGGGGTTGTCTCCCCTGCACATTCCCTAAATGACCTCTTCTGCACCTACAAGTGAAACATCAAGTCCATGAATCTGCCTGCCAAAGATAGCACCCAAAGAATCACAAATACCTAAGTTTTCCAATCAAACAAGTAGGCTACATGCAATGACCAAGATATTCTGGAACAAATTTTTAAGCACTCATGCTAGTTCTTTAACTGAACAGGTCTGTACTCCGTAAAAGATTCATCACAATCATCAACAAATGGTTGCAAACATGGTACAAAAATAGGAATTGCTAATATAAAGGGAAAAAGTTCAGTAGTTCACTATCCTCCTTAAAGGATATTACTATAGGTTTAAAAGAATGGAAAAGGAAAATTTCAGTCTCATTTTATCTGCAAATTTATAAAATAAAATGAAACAAACACTTAGTCCCAAAATTTTTGGGCGTGGTTCATAGAACTACTTGAAAGTTGGAAAGCCAGCTATAATGGTGGCTGAAAGTTGATTACCAGCTCAGAAGGTATCTAAAAGATGAAAAGGTTGTAGATGAAATATTTAAGTTTGCCTAATAAAACCATCTTAAATATAAAAAGGTAGTTTAAGAAGACAACTTGTCAAAAATTAGAATGGTACTGAGTTGAAATTAGCTGAATAAGCTGCAAGATAGAGGTTATTTATGAGGTTTGAAAATGTAGCTGAATAGCTAACACATGTTCCCAGCTTTAAAAAAAAATTAAAATTATAAAAATTAATCCATGTTAAAAATTAGAGTTTTTTTAATCTTTTGATTAAACTAATCCATGTTAAAATAAGTACAAATCATCTGTAAATATAACAAAAGGCAAAAACTAATTGGTGGATATGCATTTATTAACCTAAGAAGATAAAACAATCCAAGAAACTAGAATAGAGTGGAGTATATACTCAGATTGTGCAAAGGTACCAAAATGATGGAGGATATTAATTTAAGTTTGCATAGACATATTCAAAAGAGTTTGATCTTTAATTTGTTAGTATTGCTTTGAGGAAAGAAAAATCAATAGAAGTAAACAATTTAAGCTTTAGCAGTCATTCAGTGACACAATAGGTCATGGTGGTCTTTCCCCTTTACAGAAGAATGCAATGTGAAGATACACCAGAATTTTACTATGAGCGTGCAGCGTCAGTTAAATATTATCAACTATCAGTTGCACACTTGCACCACATAATCAGTCATTAATTGCATATTTAAATTGCGCCCATCAATTCAATATTTGGCTGCTGATAATTTAATATAAAATTTGACTAATGACTCCCTCCATCCCACATATAATAACTTCGCATCTCTCTCTTATTGCTTGTCACACAAAAAGCTTCCCAATCGTCTCTTAGCTTTGGATCTACATAATACAATATTGTTCTCCCGTCACACTAAATTATTTTACTCATCATCTCTCTACTTCCTTAATATAATATGGCCCTCACTTTCCCTCACCTCAATAGAAAAACAATATAGAACACCCACTTGTTAATTTTTTAATCCATGTATACTTAGCAAAATCCCACCATCAACACTCCTACAATTATGTGCCAAGGGCCCAAGAGAAATGGAAAGCTTTTTTGTAGGACGGAGGGAGTATCTAATTAATTGACATACTCCTCAAACAATATAAAAAATTAAGTATTTTGCAACATGGATATGGATGAGGATAACATGAACTACGGATATAATTCATTCATGGATACCTTTAGCATTATCTAGTTGTGCATAGACCAATAAGCTTATGAATAACTCGGGAGCAAAATTGGTCAAAAATTGCTCATAAACAAACAAGCATACATGGACAGAATTCTGAAGCTCAATTACTTTGATCAGCATAGTGTTTGCTCAGAATAATAAATCAAGAATGTAGTTTATATAAAACATACAGAGTGGTTTTTACTTTGATCAGCATAGTGTTCAGTCTGAGTATATTCATAGTGAATCAAGACTGTAATTTATGTAAACATACCATATTGGTTTTCCTTCAAAGATTATAGTCTGCATATTCAATTAGTTGAAATTCAATATTACATATTTGATACTCCCTCCGTCTCTTATTTACATGCCTACTTCCCATTTTACACGGGAATTAAGGAACTTAAAACCCATGATTGGAAAGTACAAATATGCATGTGGGGTTAGAAAGAGATAGATAGAAAGAAAATGTAGTTGGTAATTACTGAAAAGATGGAGAGAAAGTGTTGGAAAATGACGTCAAAAGTACAAAAAAAATAAAAAATAAAAAATAAAAAATTAATGACAACCTTAGTTTTAAAATGCGCGCCGCAAGGCACAGTGAGGCTCGAGAGTTGGCGCCTTAGCTCTTTGAGGCTCAAAGACCTACAAAAGGCGCGCGCCTTTGCGCTTTTTCTAGGCTGCTTCTTGCGCCTTATTTTGCGCTTTATGTTTTAAAGCATCAATAGTTATTGTGTAAGTTTATTTTTCCTAAAGTATACCATGAGACTTTGTTATGGACAAGTTTTTTTTTAATTCTAGTGAAGAGAGAAATCCCATATTCTACAATTCGATTTGAAGAACCCTTGTTATTGATCACATGGCCCTTTCACCTTTTCTCATAATTTCATTTTTACACTTATCTATTATTATTTATTTTCTATATGAATAAAGTGCGCCTCACCTACAAAAGGCACGCGCCTTCGCCTTGCGCCTTGCGCCTAGGCTCCAAGGACTTTTTGCGCCTTGGTGCACCTTGCGCCCTTTAAAACCTAAGATGACAACTCATCAAAAAGAGGGAATATTGTCAAAAAGTACATTCTTATAATAGAAATAGGCATGTAATTTTGAAACCCCCAAAAAGAAAAGTTGGAATGTAAATATGGGACGGAGGGAGTATGCTTAAACTTCAAGTAAAGTCACTGCAAAGACACCTTTTGCCTTACAAAAATATGTAGAATTCCTTATGCTGGCAAGCAAGCTCAAAATGTTTTTCTGGACAAATAAGTATAGCCTAAACAAAAAATCCTACCCTTGCCAAAAACTTTTTGCTATACTCGACATTCAGTTAAAAAATAAAATAAAACATGAACATCCCAAAGCTAGTTTTCGGTTGTTAATACCGTAATCATGGGTAGTTGAACGCATAAAGTAAGTACATAGTGAAAGAGAAAAGGGAGGAAAGGTGTGAAAAAAGCCGAAAAAGGTTATTTTTATGAGACATTTCCCAAGTTATTGAACTTTTGGGTTTCTAGCCTTGGTTATGTCACTTAAAGGCATATATTCTAAAAGTTGAGCTGAGATATCATCTCTTGTCTAAACCCCATGCCCACCCCATGTATAGCCTCAACCACCCCTCTTATTCAATTTCTATGCCAAGTACACCTGAGTGCCTGACATAGTTAATTTTATTTTATTCTTTCAAGAATTAGGTAAACAGAGAATTACTCCCGCAACTCACCATCCCTAATGTGTTAGGGATGGTTGGAACACTTAGAAGACAGGTGAAAGACATACAATCCAAGCTAAGAAAATCAAGAAGGTATCACAGAATCTATCTCCCGGAGGTTGGGATGGAAAGAGGGCTAGCAGCAATCAGCTGACTAAACACTAAACTTTAGTGGAAAGCAAAGCTTGAACATTGCACTAAATCATATATGTGGCCCACTACTATGATCAACATATCATGAAAGTTTCTAGGTACAGAAACATGGAATTAAACAAAATCCATTGCTTAATATATTAGATAAAAACCATTTTTAAAGCATATACTCCCTCAGCCCTCCATTCCCAAAATTTGAACTCACTTACTTAGGGAAGTTAGAATGAGTGGAAAGGTGTAAGAGTGTGGGATACAAGGAATGAGATAGTATATGGGGTTTGGCAAAAATAGAATAAAGTAAAAAAGTAGTTGAACATGTTAAAACACCAAAAAAAAAAAAAAAGTGGGGCAAACTTTCAGGGCGTATTATATAATCACATTGTAACTTTAGTTAAAGCTCTTATACAACCACATTAGTCATGAGAATATATTGTTAAACACATAGGCTCATTGAAACTATCAAAATCCAAACTAGACTTATATTTCAACCATTACAAACATTTAAAGCCATTAAATTTATCACAAAATAAGAAGGTATACTTCATTTGATTACAATGATATACTGGAGTTATTCCAATTTGTCATTTCATACTATGACAGCTAAGAAGTGAAATTCAATCTTTCACAACTCCAAAATAATGTTTTTAATTTATGAAAGGATCTGCCTCAATTTGTCATTTCATACTAGACACACATACTATTATACTCCCTCCGTTCCATAATATAGTTCCTGTTTTTCAATTTTGGAGACCCAAAATGTTGTTCTTGTCTCTATTTTTGGATAGTATGTAAAGACCATTATACCCTCATTTTTTTAACTTTATTCATTGTACTTCCTAAATTACCCTTAAATTTTCCACTTGCCTTGTACTTTTTTCCACTTACTTTCTCTAACTTTGGTCTATAATTGTACTTTTCACCTTTTTTATGTACTTCATTTACTTTCTCCTCTCTAACTTTTGTCTATAAGTGTACTTTTCACCTTTTTTAGGTACTTCATCCACTTTCTCCTCTCATTTCTTAAATACCGTGAAAAAAGACAAACAGGAACTATATATTGGCACGGAGGGAGTACTAATTTTTGTAATATGGCCAAAATCCATTTCTCAGACTCGATTTTTTTTTTTTTTCATGGCAACATCAATCTCTCTCTCTCTCTCTCTCTCTCTCTCTCTCTCTCTCTCTCTCTCTATATATATATATATATATATATATATAAATGGATTTGGCCATATTACAAAAATTAGTATAATAGTATATGTGTCTAGCAGTCTAGCCTAAAATGAAGTGTTGTGGGTACCTATACCAGAAAATTTGACACAGCTACATGAGGCGAAATAAAAGACCTAAGGCCTTATTCAATCAACCTGAAAAATAAGTTCTGATAAGGATCAATAAATACTCCGTAAAAGATTTGAATACGTTTCGAAAGATAACTTTGGAAAAAAAATAAGTTTAAATGAGGGCTTATAAGGGATACCCAAGTTCAATTTACATTTTTCATAAGTTCTAATAAGTTTTTAAAGTTGAAGTAGTGTTTGAAAAAGTGTTGCTTAGGCACAAGGTATTAGGAGCCATGCGCCTTTTGTTGTCCAGGCAAAGAGATTTTAGTGAAGCGCAATTGAGTTGCACTGAGGCATTGGTGCACCGTGAGATAAGTGAAAATTGGATGAATAGAACACACCCTAAGTAGCATAGGTAGAAATTTATGCAAATAGATCAGCCATATAGGCATACACCCACCAAGTATCCATATCATATCATCAAAGTAACAAGTTCCGACCAAATCAATCAGACTATTGCCATTGACAATGTAAGCAGAAACATACTATGTCATCAAAGTAACAAATTCCCACCAAAACAATCAGATTATTGCCCTCGTAATTGTAAGCAGAAACAAAAGTCTGTGCCATATTTTTCCTCCATGGGTTTATAGCAATTGAACCAAGAATATCAGAGTTCTAGCAAGCATAAACTGGAATAATAACAGGGCCAAACATGTAGAGCATCAGGTTGCATTAATGCTTCATTTGTAGGGCCGAGCGAGCGAAAAGAACTACAAGTCTACAACCATGTACATTTACATAACAAGGTCATAATTTAGTAATTTACATAGCAACATTAGCAGAAAATCCATACCAAGAGTACAAATTAGATGAACATAATGCGAAAAAATCAAAAGGGTATCCCAAAATTCCACTTCTGCCACACACCAATAAAATATGATCAAAAGGGTATCCCAACTCCATATCAACATCTCCAACTAATTAATTAGTCAAATATTTCATCAAAATATAAACCCAGTATCATCAAATCTGTCAAAATACAACTTTAATCCAATAAATACAGCATTTAAACAAAGTTGAAGAAACAAATTGAGATGTGATAATGATGGAAATTGAACAAAAAATGATTGATACAAAAAAAAAAAAAAAAAAAAAAAAGGGGGAAGATAATAAGAAATACCTTAATACAATCGGACTCGCTAAGACACTTGACAAGCTCCTCTGCCAAGCCTTTGCAAGACTTTGCCATAACCAGCCACTCTATCTCTTGCTTGTAGCTCCCAGGATTTCGCAGGTGAAATTAGGGGACTATTAGCAGCAATTCTTCTTCTATGCTTTCGTCTGGCTTATTAGAAAAGTTTTTCTCGAATGATTTTTCAAATGATGTATTCAGTATTGATATCATATACTCCGTATGATTTTAGTAGCACGTAGATCTATTAGAAATGGACCCAAACCCGAAACTGATTCGAAATGGAGAACTATACGAGAAATTGGGCTTTTGAAATCAACCCGAACTTAGTAGACCTTATGGAACATATTAAAACTTTTATTGGACTTGATTAGACCTTAATTTTTTTAATTAGACCTTATTATTATTATTATTATTATTATTATTATTATTATTATTAAAAATTAAAAGATATACTTAAAATCAATTGGAACCCGGGATACAATATGAGCTTTTACTCCTTTAGCTATTGCAAAACTAATCCTAACAAAGATGTGGGCCACTGCTCGAGCCCCAATATCTTGGGTCCTGGAAAAGTTTTGAACTCGTTTAAGCAAAGCAATGGCATCTGTCTCTAATTCTCCTAATTAAGAAAAGGAGAAAGGAAGAAATCTATACTCAATTGCCTCACACTCAGCCTGTAATTTCTTGTTGGATAATATACTTTCTACTGATTTGGTTGTTTTTATGATAAACTAACTATACATGGTTTTCAATTTTAAATTATGCATTAGTTGCAACTCCTCATTAGGGGTGAAACTAATTCGATTTAAAACGAACCAAACCACAAACCAAACCGAATTAGAAATTAATACATTGCGGGTTTTTTTTTTTCTTAATATGGTTTGGTTTGGTTTGAGGAAAAAAAAAGTTTGTGGTTTGTGGTTTGGTTTCGGTTTAAGGATTTGAAAAATCGAAATCCAAACCGAAATATAGCCCATATCCAAATTATAGGCCTTGTAAGACTTAGTCACTATCATTACAAAAGGATTTATGTCTTCGCAAGTGCAATTACTAGATATATTAATGGATCGTTATTAAGATAATAAGTTCGTTCTTTTGGGTCGTCATTGTCTGTTGCTAGACGTGATAAATGATCTTTGGGCTAGTCAAATAGTCCAAAGCACAATAGAATAAATCCCACACATAAGGGTGATGGATTGAACAAAGAATGAGGCCCATCATTGGGCCTCATGAAAGGTGGTCGGCCATATGGGATTATAGAGAGAGTATTTTGGGCTTGATTTGGACTCTAAATATACATGTGATGTATAAATAGAGGTCTTGCCTAGGGTTTTAGATAACACACTTAAGCAGTCAATTGAGAATTGACTCGCTAGCAACCAAACCCTAGCCTCGGGCAATCTCTCTCCTCACTCCCTTCCTAACGTCAACACAGCTGTACGGCCACAGGGTGCAAGGTGGTGCACGGTGGTGGTTTGGTGGTGTTCGTGGCCGATTTCCTCTTCCCCTCTCCGTAGAAGGTGGCTCAAAGTGTTTGTACCCAACTAACTAGCATTAGTGGAGGTTCAATCCTATCCCATGGACCAAGTATAGGAGCAACGCTTGGGGCTCTTATTATTCTCATAATCGTTCGTGGTCGATCGCTTGTGGAATCACGCTTCAAAGGTATAATTATGTGTTTCTTTATGTGTTGTGCATAGATCATGTTTAGGTGCTTATGAATATGATTCATGCAATTACGCTTAGAGTACCAATTTCCCTACAGTGGTATCAATTAACCTAATGCATGTACACATATTGATCATAATTCTTTAATGTCCACAATTTTAATTCAATTAAGAGGGAGAACTATTTAATTATGGGTCAATTATTATTTTAAATGGTGATTTAACATATGAAATCATTAAATATGATTTAATTGCTCAATTTTGCCTAAAATATGGACCATTATTTGCCCTATCATGTTCAAAGAATTCGAACCCCCCAACCCTAATTTCAAAATTTTCGAAACCCTAAACCCTAAATTTTGATTTTGTGTTTATGTTTTGAATAATTTTGATTGTTTATAAGTTTCATGAATTTAATTTAATTAATTTCATGTATAAATCATGAATTTTGCATGATCAATGATTTAATTTAAGTGTTAAATTGAATTAGGAACTATTTTCATGAAGAGCCTTAATTTTAAAATTGAATATAATTTAATTTTAAATTTACTTGGACTAGTTTAATTTAATTTAAACAAGTGTTGTTTTTTATTAAATTAAAAATCAATAATAAAAAAAAGGAATTACTTAGGATTAGGGGTCATACTATGTCTTGTTTATGCATTCAGTAGATTATGCATGCTAGCTTTTATTGATGTTGATGATGATGCGCTAGAGTTCACTAAATTAATCACAACATAAAAAATCTAGGTCCCGGAAATATTGAGATTGCTTTTCCAATTAGATCCAACAACCCTTCGATCGTGAGTGATGGGTCTAACTCCGCAAGGTCTCACTTGTTATCTTAGGTAATTTGGGGTAGATCACGTTCTACACATTTAATTGGTTGTGCTCAACAAGGTTTCCTAAAGCGTTTAGAACCTTGAAGCAAAGGGTAATAATTAAATATGAAATGGTTAATTATTCAACCAAGAGTTGCAGGAGTTGTAATTTGTAAAGAGTTTACTTACCTTGAAAATATAATGGTTTATGGTAGGGCCTCAGTCCGGTCAACTATTATACAAATAAAGGATCTTGGAATCACTTAATTCAAATGAGACAATTATTTTGAATAAAGTGTTAAAGTAACCTTTAATTTTATTTTAGGTGCTTTAAAGATAAACATAGTTGAATTTTGTGTTTATTCAGTAAGTAATATTTATTCTAGTTTTATTATTATATTTTCTCCTCGATTGAAAATAAAGTTGAGAAACGTTCTCAAAAGTGTAAAAGATAATCTCTAAACCTATATTCCAATTTTGCTAAGTGGTTCTAACATGCATGTTTTAGAAACCCATGTCACATGTCTAAGTTGGTTTTCTTCAACTCAAACGCTTGAGTAAAATACCAACACCATCTTTGATTAGGGGATTTTTATCCACCAATCACCGTCTGACAAGTGGACCAACCAGGTTCCGCCACGTGTCCTTCACGAAGGCCAACAGGAGCTTGCCACGTGTCAGTCACAGATACGTCCTCCACGGACCACTTAAGACACGCCACGTGTCCACCCATGCCGAGTGGGACAACCGGCCATCAAGGCCCATTTCAGTCTAGAGGCCCGATCAGCCCTAGGTTTACCTTAAGCCTAGAGAGTTGCACGCTTCCCAAGGCTATAAATACTCGATTAATCCTCATTAATCAGGGAACAAAAAAACAACCGAATAATTAAGAGATCAAGCAGAGAAGAACAGACTTATTAACAACCGGCTAATCACGCTAACAACGCAGATTACCAACACTAAGCACTCTCACCTAGAGAGATCTCATTACTTTACTTTCTGTATTGATTACTCCTTAATCAGGTACTAACTTGACCGTTGGAGGCGGAGCTCTCAGGAGTCTCCGTTATTTTGCAGGTACAGACGTCCGGTTCCAGTCTCGGAATTGTAACTCTCCCGCAGGACATCAGAAAAACCCCGAAACATTTGGCGCCGTCTGTGGGGAGAGTACTTCAGAGATGGCATCCAAGTCTGTACCGACTCCAGAAGAGAGGCGTCCCCTAGACGACCCTCAAGTTCAGTCGGACCATGATACCGAAAGTGAATTTGAAGTTGAAACTCATACAACTCCCAACTGGCACAAAATTCCGTTACCCTACGGGAAATAGGAAACCGGTTCGTCATATTCAGGCGGACGGGTCAAAGCAAACGTTCACAGATGCTCGGCACCTGCTAGAGCAGAAGAAGAGTGACCGATTATCAGAGTCGGCTTCTACTTCAAATTTTCAGGACAGTTTGCGAAACGCCTCGATGAGGCCAACTCAGTCGTACCATGAGAGTCAGTCAGGCGGCACCTCCCGTCAGTCCGACTTTCATAGTGCCCAGGCGGTACCAAACTTACCATTTGTGCCGCAACAACAGTATTTTATGCAGCCACCTCCATTTGGTGGACCTGCAGCAAAAAACGTCCAACCTATGGACTGGCAGCTACGGCTGCTTAGACTTGGTGAACAGCCGTCGGCCTTCTCCAAGGAAATTACTGAAGCCGCTCAGCCGGCCAAAGTAAAAAAATGTTTTAGTAGGCGCCTATGATGGCACTACTAACCCGGAAGACCATCTGATGGCATTCACCAACCTGATGTACCTTCAAGGGTTGGATGATCCCACTTGGTGCAAGTGTTTCCCAGCGACTCTCAAGGGAATTGCACAGCAATGGTTCGGCAACCTGCCGACTGGTTGTGTAAACAGCTTCAGGACGCTTGCTTACTTATTTGCCTCCAACTTCGCAATGAACATCCCTGCGAAGAAAACGACCCTTGATTTGGGAACAATTCAGCAGGGTGAAAAGGAGGGGCTTCGTTCCTACATCAGGCGGTTCAACCTGATGAGAATACAGATTCAAGGGTTACCGGATGAGGTAGCTTATACTGACTTTTTTAGAGGTCTCAAAGACGGGTCTACCTTCAAATTTGATTTAGTTCGAAAAAGGGTGGCGACTCTTCAAGAGGCCTTGATTGAAGCAGAAGCCTATATACAGGCGACTGATCTGTGTACGATGAAACAGTCGGACGGGAAGAGGTTCGACAATAGAGAGGGACGACAGAAACAGTCGTCCAACAAGGATGAAAAAAGAAAAGGGGTCTGGGCGGCTGATTCCTCTAAACAGCCGGCCCAGAAAAAGAAAAAAGAATTCAAACCATACTCCCCAAAATATGTGTTTAACAAGGATAACCAGTTTATCCTAAAAGAAATAAAGGGACGGCTCTCAATTGAGAAGCCGCTCCCCATGAAGGGTTCTGCGAGCAACCGGAACCAAGACAAAATCTGTGCTTATCATGATGACATTGGTCATCACACCAATGACTGCATCAGTCTCATGCGGTACCTAGACCGATTGGCTGATCAAGGTGATCTTGACACTTATGTCAAGAAATCTGCGGGAAACACTTCCTCAAAAAAGCAGTCGGCCAAAAAGAATCAGCAGGCCGACAGTTCTGATACAGATGATGCAGTCGTCTACACCATTGCAGGCGGCTTCTCAGGAGGCGGCCCCTCTATTAGGGG